GAGAGAGAGAGAGAGAGAGAGAGAGAGAGAGAGAGAGAGAGAGAGAGAGAGAGAGAGAGAGAGAGAGAGAGAGAGAGAGAAGGGGGGTGGATGAGACATATGGAACAGACGGAAGATATGCCCACGAATGATGAGGAGGATCAGGGAGGGACAACGGGCTGAGACAGACAGATAAGAGGAGATATATGTTTTATATTCCATCCACAAGCATTGCGGACATCACAGCCATCTCCTCTCCATTACTAGCCGACATGTATGCCAGACAATGACAGCTACCGTCTTCCCCCAAACAGAACATATGGTCATCATCGCTGTATCTAGACTGAGAGTTGCCCCAAATACAGGCATAATGACCATAAGTTTTATTTGGGGGAAGACGGTAGGCAGTTGGAATAGGAAGAGGTTAACTTAGATGGGGTCATGAGCACCAAACCTGGGGGCGCTTCTCTGGCGGCCACAGCAGCGAATCCAGCCTTAACGCTGTGTACAATCCCCCAAAGCCTCCTCCAAGAATGCAAATTCTAGGCCTCTGTGTCCATAATAAACATGCAAAGAATACACACACACACACACACACACACACACACACACACACAAGCATGTGTGAAAACAAGAAAAAAGGTTGTAAGTAAACAGATCATGAGTTCAAACTTCAAATCATGATTCCTTATAGTTTTACAGTGACAACACTGACAAGTCATTTTGTGGTCACCTTTGGTCTTTCATTCTCTCTTTTTATTGGGGTTACTATATAATGCTAAGGGCTACCCCTTTATTACAACAAGAAGGAAACAAAACAAAACAAAAAAAAAAAAACATCAGGAATGAGCGTACTGTTTACTCAACTGCCTTTTCCAAAATGAAAATAGAAGATCCCCATAAGAGTGGGTGTCACACATATGGAGATCACCGCCGGATAGTGGGACCTTCCTTTTGAACCTTTTTGACGCCCACTCTTATAAGAAAAGTGACCAAACATGCCTGCTACTAAACTACCGAGTATGCAGATCTCTGCGAAAAAAGAACGTTTGGAAATGTGAGGTCCCAATTATAGCTCATTAAACTGGGAAAACATATTGTGATGTCCCATTGCGACACCATCAACATGCATAACGCAGCGCCCACATGGGGGCAACAGCATGCCAGGGCATTAGCACCACCAGCTTATCACAGGGAAGGATCACATGATAGGGTGCAAAGTCAGGTTCGATAATAACAATAATGTCGTCAAAGAACTCAGAATGCTGATGAGAACAGGGATAGAAAAGAAGTTGCATAGCGCTCCTGCGCACCGCCAGGACATCTGCATCGCGTTATTACATGCCATGCTCGTAAGCGATGGCGAAGCGAGAGCAGAGGCTACAAGGACAGGGAGGCACAAGCGCCAGGCACGGACGTGAAGCAGCCCCTGGCATGGATGCACACAGAGCCATACGACCATCACCTGGTCTGTCACAAAATCGGACATACCATCCCTACCAGCCCTGAACACGGTGACACTAGAGTCCAAGGACACACTCGTTAAGTCGCACATGACGCCCAAGGCAAGCTCCCAACACCACTGTAGATTGATTGACCGGAGGTATGTTGATTGATTCAACATGCATTGATTGATCCAGCATACACCAATCCAACATTGAGCATACATTGATCGAACATGTGCCAATCCAACATTGAACATACATTGATTGAACATACACCAATCTTTGAACATACATTGATCGAACATACGCCAATCCAACATTGAACATACATTGATTGATCCAACACTGAACATTGATTGACCTAACATACAATGATATTCAACATACATCGATCCAACCAGGGACACATCATCCTACAACGACCGCAACATTGTAGACTGCAACAAAAAAGGAGGAAGGGGAAAAGAACAGCAGAGAGAGAGAGAGAGTTGACTACAACAACAACGCGGCAAGGGGGAAAGAACAGCGGGGAGAGAGAGAGAGAGAGAGAGAGAGAGAGAGAGAGAGAGAGAGAGAGAGAGAGAGAGAGAGAGAGAGAGAGAGAGAGAGAAGTGGACCATAGGATTGTCAATAGTTCAACAATGAGCCATCTTAAGAAACGTGGGCCTCCTTGTGACTAGGACAGGCACAAAAGGAAAAGTGGGTATGGGTCTGAAACACCACTACCCTTCACCCCCCCTCCCCACACCCTTCCACAGATTGCGCCTGTGCACACAGGCGCTGCGGGTCCGTTAGTGGTCCATTGGCCCAAAAGAGCTGGAAGCCTCCGATAGGCCAGTTTGGCCCATCGACCCAAACCAGGGGGCTGCCAGCTTTTTTGGGCTGATTGGGGCACCGGGCTGAACTGCCCTCTATTTTGGGCCGATGGGCCACTAACAGACCATAGGTCAGTTCAGCCAATTGCCCAAATTGGCGAAAAAAGAGGGTAGGTTCAGCCCACTGCTCAAAAAGCGGGTCCATAAAAAAATAGGTCAGTTCCACCAATTGGCCCAAAAAGTGGGTCTGTGCAGGGCCCTTTTGGCCCGGAAAAGCTGGCAGCCCTGACAGGCCGGCCTGATCCTGCTATGGTTCAGATGTCCAGGTCCAGCAAGAGAAGGGTTTGGCAATTTTCTCTTGGACATGCTCACGCTATGACAAAGTCAGCAAAAGGAGAAATGGAATGGTTGGAAGAGAAGAAAACACCACCAACTGGAGGAAGGAAACGAAGACGAAGACGAAGACGAAGACGAAGACGAAGACGAAGACGAAGACGAAGACAAAGATGAAGACGAAGACGAAGATGACAATGACGAAGATGATGACGATGACGACAACAACGACGAAGATGACGACGACGACGAAGACGAAGGTAAGTAGCATATCTTCCACCACGTCCAAGACACAAATGGACAATGTTTAAAACAACTCCCACAAGTGGTTGACAGGGACCCCCTTCTTTTCAGCCCATGCGTTAACCCCCCAAACACAGAGAAGGGCATTTGGGGCAGAAGGGACGGCAACTGCCCCACCACAACTCCTTCGCAAGATGATTTGCTTTTTCTCACGGACTTTTAATCCTGTGCCAGAGGCGCTCTTCTGTATACCCACGCACCAAATTTTGGAGGGACGATCTGCCATAAAACGGCAAGCATTACCAAAGAGTAGGAGTTAAGAGGAGGAAAAGACGAAGACGAAGACGAAGACGAAGACAAAGACGAAGACGAAGACGAAGACGAAGACGAAGACGAAGACGAAGACGAAGACGAAGACGAGGAGGAAGAGGAGGAGGAAGAGGAGGAAGACCAGAGGTGCTCTTTAACATACCCAGGCACCAAAGATTCAAGGGGCGATTGGCCAAAAGATGCCAAGCAAGAGATGAGGAAAAAGAGGAGGAGGAAGGGGAGGAGGAGGAAGAGGAGAAGAAGGAAATGGAAAAGGAGGAAGAGGAGGACAAGGAAACAAGAAAAAAAAAAAAAAAAAAAAAAGAGATGAAAGCAGGAAAGCAGGAGTGGGATGCTAAGAGAGAGGGGGAAGCCACCTGCGAATGAGGCCATGAAAACTCTTGCACTCTTCCGCTTGATTCAGGACTGCCTCCTTCTGCGACAATCGTCCTCTCTTCCCCCCCGTATCTTCCATTTCCCCCATCGCCATTTTCTGCAGATGCATTCATCCTCACCCTTTTCTCCCTTCTTGTCGCCGTGCTATCCCCAAACACATTCTTCCCCATCCATGAGCTCATCTGAGATCCACACGACAGTGACGATCCGTTCTGTGCCACAGCCCCGTTCGCGTTCTTGGCTCCCAGAAACAACTTGCTGCTTCTGCTGGCCATGGATACATAACAGCCACAACGATTACACCGGCTTCCATTCTCGCGCAGAGTACGAACCGAATCATGTGTTGGCAAAGGAGATCGCACAATAGACTGGAAACCTGTACGTATGACAGAGGATCAGTCCAAAGAAAATGCAATCATGCCCATCCATCCACAAGACCTCAGGTGAAAAATGTAATCTGAAGACCGCAGTGAAAGCTCAACTGAAAAGGACGGCAGTGAAAGCTCAACTGAAAAGCAAGGCTTCTTTGCTGGCCCGGGCGTGCAGCCCGGGCAAGTCGCCCAGGGGTCACCTGCATAGGGCACCCCGTGCAGGCAAAAATCATCCCTTTTTTCCCTTTCGGGTGAGGGTTTCCCGCGCATGCCCAGAGGCGCCCGAGTCCCTGCTCCTTTCTTTTTTCGAGTGTTGCCTGTCAAAATGGGGGAAGGGGGGTAACAGCTCCCGTGTGGTCGGCGAATTCACACTCAATTTGAGCTGCTGGCCATGTGGGTAGCTGCAGCCCGATCAGGTTGTCATCCGCCCCCAGCGTCTCATGGAGATGTTCAATGTACAGAATGTACAGCGCCGGGGCTAAAGGGGTCAAAAAGGGGTGCTTTAGTGAAGTTTAGTCTGATTCTGTGTTTTCTTGTCTATCTTCAATTCCGTGAGGAACGCTGATGTTGGCTGTCAAGGTGGGAAAAGGGGGGTATAAATTGGTTTGTAAGGGGCTAAAAAGGTCAAAAAGGGGGCGCTTTAGTCTGATTCTTTTTTTTTCTTTTTTTTTTTAATAAAACCGTCTCTTCCATTATCAACATCACGAATGAACTGAGGCCGGGGACCTCACAATTCAACCCGGAGTTATCCTGGCAGCATCAGCCGGTTTAGCTTATGAAATATACTGTCACGAATGCAGATATGATAAACCTTTTCACTCCTAGAGAAGCTAATAGTCACCAACCTCCTGCTTGATTGTTGCAAGAGCTATTGGTGGGGAGCGACACCTGCTGGAAACCGGGTCCAGCGTCCCTTGAATACAACAATGCAGATCAGTGATTTATCTTCAATTCGTTGAGGAACTCTGATGTGACCTTCAGCCAAAAGTTGTTTGCATTGCAATTCTGCACAACACTTTTTCAGTTCTGTAATTTTTTTAATTCTCTTTTGTCTTTTTGCGCACGCACGCGCGCCGGCGCTGCCAAGAACCCTGCCCAGCGTTCACGCCCGACCAGGCACCCAGGCCTGTCTCCCAGCATAAGTCGGACGCCCGGGCGCTCACACAAACAGCCTAGCTGAACAGCTTTTCTTCAGAATATATAACAGTACACAAAATCAGATGTAAATTCATGTGTCCTTCGCGACATCCGTTCAAACTGGAACGATACAAAGAAGATTACCATGGCCCCTGCACAAGGATGACACACATAAATCTAGAAATGGTCCAAATTATAATAATATTATATTATAATAAAAAATAAAAATAGAGAAAGTAAATTCACGTTGATTAAGTGATCCAAAAGCTTCCAATGTACCATGCATTGCCATTCAGTTCCTAATCAAAACCTGAATGATTATAATTTATAAATTTGTTATGGAGATACACATCCACCGGAAAGTACAATGCCATCCAATTGCAGAAAGAAATGAATGAACTTGAGAGGAGAGAGAGAGGATTAGAAGAAGAAGAAGAAGTAAGAAAGAAGAAGAAGAAGGTGTACACCAGCAAACACAATGACAAGGCTCTTCTTCTTCGCCAAACAATCTCCTCCTCCTTATCTCCCCCTTCTCTTATTTGAAACGGTATTCACCAGTTCGCAGTAGCTTATGCAGATCCCAGGGCTCGATCCCTAGTTCCCCACCTTACCTGTGTACAGTACCGGTGTCAACCCGTAGATTTGAACCTGCTACCTGTAGTACCGCCAGTGGTAGGTAGTTTTCCGTAGGTCACAGGGTAGAAGGTATTCGAACTGTAGACCTGTAGGGTAGGAGTAGACAGTTAGAGGTCATAGCTGTAGACTGCCTGAAGGGTCAAGGTCGTAGCTGCTACTTACCTGAAAGGGCAAGGTCGTAGCTGCTACAGTACCGAAAGGCCAAGTTAGAGGTTTCTAGAAGTGGCCTTTCGGAGTGAGTCTGCGTTCAGCAGAGGCAAGTGGTCAAGTGGTGGTAATCCACCTAGTACAGTCAGCAGTCCCAGTCCTCCCAGTCCGGTCCAGTCCAGCAAGTATCGTCTGGGACTGTGTGCACGATGGGCCAGGGCTACAGCTCAGACCAACGCAGCACAAAAGTATAAATCAAGAGGCTGCGCTCAGCCATTCATTCATTCATGCGGAAGCCATGCGGAAGCGCTGCCTCAGCGTCTTGTGCAAGGAGGTCTGCTGGAGGCCCGAAGACGAAGTGGGCAAGAGTGAAGCAGTGTAGTCATTGTGATAGGTAGCAGCAGCCATACCTGCCATAGCGTAGTGTACGGTGTAGAGTGTGTGTACTGATTGTGTGTTCTAAGTATCGCGTGTGGGACATCCAGGGTGATCCAGAGTGTGAACAGTGAGTTGTTTGGGCGCACAGTCGCCATAGCCATTTACAAGAGGACTCTTATCTGGTTGCGATATCTCTGAGTACTGAGTGGGCGCAGGTCACCAGTTTGCTGTATCGCTGTTTATATGCATGAAAAGAGTGAATGAGTCGAGTCTGATTGCATATTCATACAAGAAATAATAATACAATGTTGAATGACTGATCCAGAATCAATGTCCGAGTCCCTCTTCTACTGCAGGTATCACTTGAGGTCCACCATAGCCATGGCCGCCTCTCCCACTCTTCACTCTCATAGGCCGAGGCTATGGCAGACTACTGGGCTCTGCTCAGATGCCCAAAGGAC